TACTTCTATAAAATTAAGCTCAGTGTGTTCCCAACAATAGGTACCTGCATTTCAACAGCTGGAATCACGGACTTAACAATATTAAAAGGCAACATTGAAAACAAAGCCACTGCACAAAAACGACAGGTCAGATAGATGCTGATTGATTTCCATTTCGTCGCCAAATAACTGAGCATTTTATAAAACCGAAATTGAGTGGACCGAGAACCGACAGTTAGGCGCTTAAAACTGTTGCAACGTATATCGGGCTCATTTCTGCGCATATAATCTTCGACTTCCAAATGGCAAGGGCATCATTCAAGTTATCGGTGGCGTTGTGCGACTAAGCAGAATCAGATTCAGGTATTTAGGCGTAACCCGCTACTGATCGTCAATCGAAGACGAGGCAGACGTCAATATTCTCCATCCACTGGTCCGACCGGCTACTCAAGAAACGAATTGGTTAAACGGGTGAGGCATAAACCTTGCTTATGTTTTCGCCAACGTATGATCCCATTATGTTCGGTTAATCTACGCAGCGGTCCGCTATTGTGCACAGCCAAATAAATGAAATCACATTATTTAAAATTTGTTCAGCTCTATACTGACATTAGCTTTGACTTTTGTTTCAAATTTCGACTATCAGTGTTTATTCACAATTTGTCTGAAAACTAAGTTTAATTGCGGATTCTGCATATGCTACCGATGCATTTCACTGAAGCAATGTCCTGCTAATCGTTGATGATTACACAGTATGCTGCATACCTGAAAGCTTGCGATATATTGCTTGCCCAAGATCTCTAAAGATTCTTGCATTTCTGTATTGATGAATAACAGGTATGTGTGAATTGAATATCAAAACAAGCTCAAGCGAAACAGAAAAATAATTAGCAAATCTATGATATTTGCCTACAGTGAAATGTAGTGGCATCATTTTATTTTAGGCGTTAGAGAATTATTTGAAAAAGAAATGTCAAAAGTTAAGCGATTACTTATTATGCTCTATTTAATCGAAAACTTTTAATCATGCGACGCAGTCTGCATTTGTTTATACATCATAAATCTGTGTGGGTTATTTGGGATATTTTGTTACTTAGGCTCTGTCAGCGTGAAATGACGGTGACAGAAAAAATAACACTGATACTGAGTTATCGTTTTTAATTCGCAAGCTCGTGCCACAGCATCGAAATGGAATTTTATCGCGAATAATAAACGTACCATTGTGCAATTCATCATGCAACCATACCTCTTGTAGCCATTTTGAAAAACTGACATATAAAGAAAACAATTAAGTCGACCAATTAGAGAACAGAAAAAAATTCCATCTCATAAGAATAAACGAATAAGTTGTGCATTTGTCGCAGGTATGCCAGTAATCGGGCATCTTCCGTTTTCTTGAAGGTACTTGTGTATACAAGAGTAACAAAATACAAACCTGAAAATTACAGCTGTACTGTTGCGAAGTAGTAAAACACGTTCGTACCCGCATGTGACCAATACAGTATCGTTTCTCCTAGGTTTGTGACAAAGCGGGCATGCACGTAGGATTCCGTCTCTTGGATAGCATAACTCTTCTGGAACTATCTTAAACGCACAAACTATATTTTGTTGCCAGATACTAATGCTTTTCAACTTTTAGTGTATTATGAACAGTCCAGGACTTTGCCAATATAGAAGT